AAAGAAGGTTCCTATCACTGAATAAAAAAATGTATTGCTAGCTTTCTCATGGTTTATAAAACGTTATTTTAACCCCTCCTGATCCAAGATATTTTCATTTTTTTTTCAAAAACAAGTGTTGTTGTATGTATATGTGTTTCTCATGTCTCTTTAATATTAGCCTTATATATTATATTGAAAGGGCGCCTATTTTTTTGAGCGCTCAACTTGTGTGTGTGTGTGTGTATCGATAAGAGGAATTAATATCATCACTTTGATTTCTTCCTTTCCTTTCTTGCATTGTTTCTTACTAAATTTTCAATACTGAAAAAATCATGATTCTACCATCTTGCCAAACACATTTGTAGACCAAAAATCACTTTTCACCAAATATGAAAAGAAGCCTTTCATCAACATAGTTAAAGGCTTAAAAGCAATGTCTCACTTGGGAATCATAATGTTTGTATTTGGCACTAAAATTTGTATCAATTATTCTCTCACGAAAACTAAATTTTGTGCGTTTGTATTTGACAGATTTTGTGGTGTTTGTCTTCTCGTGGGAAGGACTAGTTTATTTTTCATCTTCAATACTTTGTTCTTCTTTAAGCTGGAAAAAGGGGGAAAAACAGAAAGCGAAAAGAGGTAAAACATATATAATCCTATCATATTTCTTTTGCTATATGATTGAATGCATATATTATTGTCACTTTGAATCTTATACTCTTGCGTTTCTGAACTAATTCTACTCTAGTTAATGCTAAAATTGCGTGATCTCTCTTTTTTGCCAGATTCTGTGTTCTTGTATAAACATTGAAATCTCTACAGAAAAAGGTAAGTGTGAATATATTTAATTTTTTGTCCATGTTTTGTCTTATATATATATATATATATATCTGTCATTTGTTATATATATTTAATCAGTTTGAACTTTTATCTTTTGAATGTTAGCTTCTATAGTCATGCGTGAAAAAATTGACCGTGTAGATAGATAATTAATTGCTTTGAACTTCAACAGAAAGACAAAAGATATTTCTTATTATAGATCATTTGATGATCTATTATAATAGGTTTATAGTTAGTATACTAACTATTCACTCCTTAAAAGTGAATTAGTAGTTAGCTGATGATCTACAGTAATACTACATTGAGATTATTGCTATAAATATTGGGTGGCTTGAGCTATGGAATTTTGAGTTCACTTAAGAGACCACCAGAGCTACCTATACTACCATATTCTAGTATTTGGCCTTGGAATATGACTACAATAATACAGAAAATTAGCAATGAAAAAATTCATTTCTATTCAAGGAAAAGTCTGCGACAAACCTATTTTGCTACATATTGTTCAGTTACAAGTTAGGGTGTTGTAATTTTTTTTTGATAGAAAATTGTTTCTACAACAAAATTTCATTGTTTTAGTACTCTGAGAACACTTTTAGTTTCATCCACAATCGTGACACCAAGTTAGGTTCCAGAAATATACAACCTTCAAAAGTTGATCCATGACCATCACTGTTAAATTTCTATTGAGTTTATCCTTATCAATAATATGTCATTGACATAGACCAATAGGTCTTTTAATTTATTGATGGTAATGAGTGATCTTATTTGCCTGTGAAACAAGCATGTGGTGCTTGCTATTTGCAGCCATTGGTAGGGAATCCCAATAGGTGAGGGCGGTGTAAACCATAAGGCAAATGAGGCAATTTGACTTAGGCCTCCAAAAAAATTCTTACACCCCTATTTTATACATATGTAAGTATGTATGCATTGTTATATGTTTAATTGCATGTCAAAGAGAATAAAAAAGTATTGATTATTCTTCCCATTGAAAAGCTCCAATCATTTCCAATATAACATTAGTTATTGAATAGAGTTCATTATCTACATAAAAAAAATAATAGTAAGATCCATAATATTTGTCGAAACGGAACCAACTCTTACGATTGACTAAGTTCCATGATATTTGTCGTAACAAAAATATCACTTGCTGCACACTTTCAACCATGCCCTTATTGTCTCTCCTCTCTCTTCTCTTCAAGTTCTTGCTAAATCATATTTAAGCGCTCAGTTGTATAATAACTAATAAAATATATAAAGGATGATTCTATGTATATCTTTCTCTCTTTGGTCTTTTCATGAGTTGTGACACTTGGAGAGTGATTGACAAGTGAGAATTACTTATCTTCAATTATTCGATCCAATTATGATTCCGTAATTTAAAAATTGAAAGTGATTTTTCACTACAAATTATGTTTTGAGACCACTTTTTTACCCTTCTTAAAAACGTCTCTGTTGATGGTTTATAATTAATTATTATAGATTATTTTAATTTATGACATAAGTATCCTAATAATTATTTAAATATTTTCATTTTAATGACACTATATTTCTACAGAGTCTTAGTCCATGATTTTTTATGTGGAACCAAAACAAATGTCTACAAATAAATCTCAAATTGGCCACACCAATTTTATTTGGATTTTTTTATGTGAAACCTATATAATTTAATATTTGTTTGAAATAATTTTATTTTGCGCAAGGAAACTAGTGTTATCTGATATTCTTTATTTTTTTCCTTAAAAAAATATTTCAGATGATTGCTCCAAATTATGTGGAAGTAAAAACAGTAGTCTAAATCTTGTCCAATCAATGAATATATATATTTTTGGTTTATTAATGAATATTTTCTTTTATGATAGTTAACTATACACAAGTAACATAATTATATTTTTTTCTTTTTTTTTTGAATTAGAAAAGTAAACACTAAATAGTGAAGTTATAATTACAAGTGGGATCAAACTCGTGATCTCCCACTTATATAAGCTTACATGCCACTAGTTTATAAGGCTGCCACTGGCAATATAAATATGTTTTTCATTCATTTATTCTATTCCACTTCTCAGTGAATGATTAATTTATAAGAATTTCTAAAACATAAACAACCAAGCATATATTTAATTAAAGTGTAAATAGGCAAACCTACTATTAAGATAAGTAGAAAAATGAACAAAATAAATGAAACATTAAGGGCATGTTTGGTTTTTGATTTCAAAAACTGTTTTCTATTTTTTTTTCTTGGTTTCAAACTCAGGAATTCTAAATTAAATCCTCAAAGATTTACCATGAAGATAAAATTTGTTGGTAATTTTTTTCTATTTTTAAAATAAAAATTTTTAAAAATCATTGGGATAAGTGTTTTAGATTTAACTTTTTCAAGACTGTTCTCAATTTATTTTTAAAGACAAAAAAATGGAAGCATCTAAAAGTTCTTTTCATTTAATTTTTCTTGTTTTCAAAACACATTACATATGACTATTGGAAAATCAAATATAGTTAGCTTGACCAATTTTTATTATAAACAACCATAATTAATTGTCTCCAACTATCACTATCTTCCTATTTTTTAATTTTAAAACTGTTTTTATATTAATATCACCAAACAAATTTTCATTTTGTTTTGTTTTAAAAAAAATTCTAAAAATTGTTTTACAAAATATTTTTTAAAAACAAAAAAAAGAAACAAAAACCAAATAGGCCCTAAGTAACCATTCAACCTTATAACTATTACCTCTTCTTACTTCCCATCAAATGGTTCCATTGTTTCACAATCTAAGGGTCTTTTGCTTTTTTAGCAATTCTTTTCTTTTTTTTTTTTCCATTTTCTTTTGGATCTCAAGTTACTTTAGCAACTCCTTTATCAGGCTTATAAGCTATCATAATCCAACTTGAAATCATACTAGCCCTATTTTTAGGATAGAAGCTATCTAGCATGACGTTTGTACCATTTTATGATTATATGAGTAACAATATGCTTTTACTCCTACTCTAATTAATCACTGTACCTCCTTAATTTACATGTCTGTCAAATTCCTATATCATTGTAAATTTGGCTTTTACATTCAATTAATAATGTGGCCATGCATTATTTCATAGCTAAATTCTAGATAGTAGGATAGACTAACTATATATCCTCATATCCATGTTAGATGGAGGGCTGCCTTCTTGACCTTGCAAAGGATCAAGTCCCAAATTTGGTGAATCTAGTGAAAAATGAAGTTCAATATTTATGTTGTTTCAATAGTTATGTTGAAAATTTTCATAAAGAAAGGGAAAGGCTGGTTGCAAAGCACAAGGATACCAACATGAAAATTGGAAAAGCCAAAGGTGTTTCAATAATCACGAATGAAGTGCAACAATGGGCAAATGAAGCAAATAGTCTCATTAAAGATAACACTAAAGCAAAGAAGATGTGCTTTTTTGATTTATGTCCTAATTTTTGGTGGCAATATCAAAGAGGCAAGGAATTGGCACAAAACTCTGCAGATTGAAGACCTCCTCGAAAGATGCAATAACGTGAGCATAGTAGCAGGTCGAGCTGATGTTTCAAGCATAAAATACAATATGCCACAAATCTTCCTTGATTTTGAGAGTAGAAAATCAAAGTTTTAAGATCTAATGAAGGCATTAGAAGATGAAAATTGTAATATGGTTGGATTACAAGGCTTAGGAGGAACAGGCAAAACATTGATGGCATTAAAAGTCAGTGAAAATCTTGAAGGATCTCATTTTAGCAAAGTTATCTTTCTTGTTGTGTCTAAGCCTCCTGATTTCAAAACATTCAACGTGAAATTGTGAGACAATTAGATTTGAAATCAAAGGATGAAAAGGAGGAAGAACTCTTAGAGGGAATATGGTCCCAAATCACTAGTATGGAAGAAAAGCTACTTATAATACTAGATGATATGTGGGAAGAGTTTGATCTCAAGAAAAAGTTAGGGATTCCATCTATCTCCCAGCATAAGGATTGCAGTGTACTGATAACTACATGCAACATAAACATTTGTCAAAATATGGGATGCCAAAAGATCATTCAACTAGAGAAGCTAAATGAGGAGGATGCATTAAATCTTTTCCATGCAAATGCTAGTATGAATAATTCCAACATTTCTAAGAAGTTAGTTTGAGATATTGTGAAGCAATGTCGAGGAGTACCAGTTGCAATTGTAGCAATTACAAGAATGTTAAAAAAATTGCCTGCTAATGATTGGAAGGTTGCTTCGATAACCTTGAAGACTTTTATGTCAATGCTTGATACCGATGATGAAAATTTAAAAGATGTTGGTAAATGCTTGAAGTTAAGTTATGACCACTTGAAAAAAGAAAAGGCCAAAGAACTCTTTTTGATATCTTCCATGTTCCCAAAAGATGAAGAAATTCCTATTCAAGTTTTAACTAGAATTGGTATAGGGTTAAGCTCTTTTGGAAAAAATGACAAGTATTATTCAAAAAGAATACTGGAAGTGCATGTTGCTATAGGGGAACTCATAGGTTCTTCTTTGCTGTTGAGTGGTGAAAGAGATCTTGTGAAGATGCATGATTTGGTTCGTGAGGTGGCCTTGTGGATAGGAGACAAAGATATTCAATCAATCACGGATTCGAAAAAGTCTATAAAAGAGAACTTGAGATATTTGCTTTGGAAGAATGATGATTTTCCTAGTGAATTTGATGGAAAAAAATTAGAGTTCCTATTAATCTTTCTAAGTAGTTCAGAGGACTTAGAGGTCTCAGAAACATTCTTTAATGAGATGAGAACGCTTAGAGTTTTCATTTTGGATCATTATAGTTACCCAAGAATTAAAGTTCTATCATTGTAATTTACTTCAATCATTAAAGGATATTCGAACACTCATCTTGAAGAATTTAGAGTTAGGAGACATCTCTATCTTAGGAAACTTGTTGAGTCTTGAGACTTTTGGTTTTATGATTGTTAAATCATTAAATTACCAATAGAATTTTTGAAATTAAAGAAGTTGAGATCATTGTAGGTAGAAGGATGTGAAATTGAAGAGAATAATCCTTTTACAGTGCTTGAAAAATGCTCACAATTAGAAGAGTTAACTTTTATTGGTAATGAATGTGATGCTAAAGAAGAAGATGCAATTTCTTAAAATAGATCTCTTCTTACATTAGATAAATATTGTATATCTTCTGATGATCTTTTAGATTATTTTGAAGATCTTGGTTCCATGTCAAGATACTTTCAAATGGACAAACTAAGTCATTTAGTCTCAGATGCAACATTTAAGAAACTTGTGGAAAGAGCCGAACTTCTTATCTTGGAAGGCGAGGGTGAACAAAGAATATGGAAGAATCTTGTCCCGGATCTTGTTGCAATAGATGAGGGAGGAATATTGAATGATTTGATTGTTCTTCATTTGTGCTCATATCCTCACATGGAGTACTTTGTAAATGCTAATAATCTATCTAGATTTTTTGAGAAATTAGAGATTGTAGAGTTGAAAGATTGTGAGAGATTGAAGAGCATATTTTCTAATGGTAACTTCAACTTATGTCGTCTCAAGTCCATAAGATTGGAAGATTGTCTAATGTTGACATCAATTTTTCAGCCATCCACTACTCAAAGTCTTGAGGAACTGGAAGAATTAACAATTAAAGATTGTAATAAGCTGGAACACATCATAAATGATGAAGATGGTGATAGTAATCAAAAGAGTTACAATGACTTACCGTTGTTCCCAAAATTTAAAAATTTTCAAATTAAAGGGTGCAACAAATTAAGAGTAATATTGCCAATCCTATCTCCTGGAGGCCTTCCATCTCTAGAAAAGATATGTATATGTGAGAGTGAGCAGTTGGAATACATATTTGATAAGTTCCAAGAGGAGGAAGATCCTATTCTCCCCTCACTAAAAGAGATGAAACTTTGTGGAGTACCAAGACTAAGTGGAATTTTTAGAGAATATGAGCAACTCAAGAGTTCATCAATACAAAAGCTATTATCTCCACTTTCAAGACAAAAGTCCAACAGGATACATCAAAGTCCTGCCACGTGTGCTCTCTCTTGGGCTCATGCATGCTGTTTTCCCAATAAATGGAGGCCTGCTAATGAAGAGACCAATCTTGCTGTTTCTAAACATAGACCACTTGACCACACAAACCTAATGGTATGCTACACTTGCCTTATTTCTTTCCTTCAAGTGTCTCATATATATATATATATATATATTGTTCAAGGAATATAAATATAAATTGCCAACTATTTCAAAGAAGAAAATGGCTCACAACTGAACAAAATAAGCTTTGAACGTTGAAAGTATCTACTATATGAATTGCCATTATTTAAAGGTAATTTGATTTTTTTTTAGATGCATGATTGAGTTAACTTGTAATAAGATTTTGCAAGCACATCTTGTTTTAAAAAAAAATTGGTAAAGAAGTAAGGCTAAAAACATCCACAGATATATATATTTGCGTGCTTATGCCTCGTGTATCTAGAAATTTAAAATTAATTGAGTATAATCAAATATATATATATATATATATAACTAACATGCTATATATATATGTAACTGAAAAAATTTGGCATGTATATTTGCCAATTAGATGAAGTGCTATTTTCCTAGATTTCATATCTCCATGCATTACTTAAAAAATTAAATTAAGTTGTTTAATTGTTGAATAACAATGCTGGTTTGTAGGGATTACTTGTATCAAAGAAATGGATTGAAACTGTTGCTACCATTGGGAGACAGCTACTCCATGTTGTTCATATCAAGAAGATGGAACTTGCAGATTTCTCTTTAAATTCAAAATCAACACTGTTCACTTTATCCATGGCTTCAATGATATTATGCGAAGAATTGACAATTAGCAAATGTGATAGATTGAAGCACTTGGTAACCAGTGATGAAGATGATTATAAAGATCAAAAAAAGTGTAGTTCCATTTTTCCAAACTTAAAGAAGCTAGAAATCAGGGAGTGTAATGACATGGAATTTTTATTTTCATCCACAATATCATTAGAAATTAAATATTTAAGGTCTTGGACGATCAGAGATGCTCCTAAACTAACACATGTTGTTGGGAAATACTATCATGAGGATCTTTTAGCAAATCAAAATCAACAAAATGAGCTGTACTTTGATCTCCCTGCTTTGGAGTTCCTTTGCTTTGAAGGTGTACCAAATATGATAAGCATTTGTGTCAAGAATTATTATTTCTTGGTACCGCCATCTCTTCATACTGTTTCTTTGGACAATTGTGGCATCATATCTTTTATTGATTTTATCCTTTGGTCGAGGGAAGAATGCTTGAATTGGGAAATCATAAAGGTATCACTCTTGTTAACTTACTGTTATTTGTTTTGCTTTATGCATCATAAATGACTTTCTTTGGTTAACAAATTAGATCTCTATTATTTTTCCCAATTTTCTGATTTTACTACATGATTAATGGCTTTTTTATTTTTAAAATCTCAATTATTGTCTTAATTTACTTGATATATGTCTCCATTTATTTATTATAATAATTTAGGTTATATAATTAGAGTTGGTAATATGGGCCAACTCACAAGTTATGGGCTGGCTTGCAGCAGATTGTGGGCTTGGTAGAATAAGTTGGTATAACCCACATTCTATGTGGTCTATACGTCCACCAACCCATTTTTACGGACTAACCTACTAGTAAAAAATGCTTTACTATTTTTTAGTGTTTTTTGCAATAAACAATCATATTTTCTTCATAAAAACTAATTATTAAAATAACAATACAACTCCTTCTAAATCCTTAAAGAAACACAGTACAAATTTAAAATACATTAATACAATCCAAAATAAATATATATACTATCAACAAACAAACATAGTAAAAAGTTTAAATTTATAATATTAGAGGCTTTATTAGAAGTTGAAATAACATTAATTTGAGTAGATTTTTTCAAAGCTTCGTTTGCTGACAAAAAAAAGTATTTTCCTGTTTTTCTTCTGGAAAAAGTGGCGGGAAGGGGGTAAAAATATCTACAATTATATGGTCTGCAAGAAAGGTAGAGTCATGTTTGACAATTACGCTCCTTCTCTCTGTTTTGATTTTTTAATCTCTTTCCATATAACATTTAATTTTATAAAATTAGAAGATTTGGACTCCAAAAATAAAATGAATCCCGTACACTTCCATTTTTTTGTGTTATCTCTCATACAAGTTATAACATTAAGTACCATTGTGGGTCGTCAAATTGAAAAAAAAAAATAGTATCTTTTCACGCCGTCTTCAAGAATGACAAAATAATGTTGGCGAAATATCTAAAATATTTATTTTGGATTTTTTTTAAAAAAATGGACGAACAAAAATAACTTGCTCAGAAGAAATGTTAATAAAATCAAGATATGAAAAATTATTTGTATAACATGTTTTGTTTAGAAATTTGAATGTATTGATTTTTGGAAGAAAAAAATAAGTGGGCTAACCCACTAACCCACAAGTTAGCTCATTGCGAGTTCAAGTTATGCAATGTAAGCCAAACCCAACCTGCATTTAAAGAAACTCATTTTTTTCAACCTAACTTGCCTTTTTGACAGGTTGAGCCCAATAACTTAACATATATTACTAGCTCTAATATACTCTTATATAATAATTTACAAGAGCTTTTTTTTTTCAATGACATAATATTCATATGTCTGATTTATTTAGGACTGTTCAAAGTATAGCACGGTGAGAAAAACTATTTTTTAAGATTTTAAGGTTGATGAAGAAAAAGAGAAATATGGCAATTATATTAGTATGACAACAAAAAAGTGAACAAATCAAAATTTGACCAAAATGATGCTTTTTGACAAAATATAACTAATTACTAAACACCAGTTAAGCTTGAAAATGAATTTTGTTTATTGTTTGGTTTCAATTTGTTTGTCAGCAGGAAACAAATGCATACAGAGATGGAGTCACCAACTTACAAGCAGTCCAAGGCCCATTGACTCAATCATTGAAAAATATCAAGGATATGAAACTCCAAAACTGTTCAAAGCTTGTATCATTGTTCACTCTACCGACTGCCTCAACGATTTTGTTAGAAAATTTGACAATCCGAAGTTGTCATCAACTAAAGTACATTGTGGAAGATGAAGACAATGCTCAAGTTTCCACGAATTGCTGCTCCATTTTTCCAACTTTAAAGAAGCTAGAAATTGATGATTGCAAAGGGTTGAGATTTTTATTTCCATCCTCATTATCATTATCTGTGCAACTTAAGAGTCTCAAGTCTTTGACTATCAAGGGTGCTTCTGAGCTAAAATGTGCCATTGGGAAATACAAACATGAGGATCATTTATCCAGTTAAAATCAACATCATGAGATGCACCTTAATCTCCCAGCTTTAGAGTCCCTTTGCTTTCAAGATGTCCCAAAGATGGTAAGCATTTTAGATTAATTGCTTGTCTTGAAATGCTAAGCATTGGCTATACAATAAAATACTACATAGAAAATTAAAAAGAACAATTTAATTTGTTCTTAAAACTGTTACAAAAAAAAGGAAACATTATCAATCAATTATTTAAATTAACATATAAAATTATGTCATTCAGTACCAAATTTATCTTATATTTCTATTTTCTTCCTATCCTAATTTTCTTTTCTTTTCCAAAATAGTATATTTTTGGATGTTACTTATTCATTGATAGATATGATGAATAGAAAAAGAAATTAATGCAGAAATTACATGTGAGTGTATATGTATGAGTATACATTATAATATGAAATTTCCACAAGAATTAAAAGTAAATAGAAAAAAGAAAAGAGATTAAAAGGTAGACCTTAAACTAATAGGTTAAAGTGTATTTTTGATCTTCTAATTTTATATAAGGTTTCAATTTTAGTTTTTTAATTTAAAAAATATATTTTCATATATCTAACCCTAACACCGCTAGTTTTTAATGTTTATTTTTGTGTGTCAATCATTGTTATTTTAGAAAAATTAAACTTAATATGTTAATATTGAGAATATTTTGTCAATATTTAAAAGTTTAATGTATAAATTTTGTTATAATGAAGCTGACAATATTGGGGTTAAAAGACTAAAAAATACTTTATAAAATTAAAAGACAAAAAAGAAACCTTATGTAAAGTTAAATGACTAATGTTCTTTTAAAATAATTTTTATGTGCCGATTTTGTTGATTATTGTTTGCATTGATATGCATATAATTTATGCATTTGTAGGGACTAGATTTATCCACAGATGCAGTTCATCGAGCTTTTCAAGCTACTCAGAGCCTCACAAGGCAATCATTTATCAATATTAAGAAAATGGAACTTGTGAATTGTGCCAACTTAATATCATTATTTGCTCAACATGATGCTTCAATCCTTTCCTTGGAAGAACTGACAATCAAAAGATGTCATCAACTAAAATGCATTGTAGCAGATGAGGGAGGTCCTACAGCTCATATGAATCACAAATCCATCTTTCCAATGTTAAAAAAACTAAACAGTTCAGAATGCTATGCAATGGAATATTTATTTCCAGCACCTGCTTTTAGATCCCACATGCATTTGGAGTATCTTAGAATCGATGATGCTCCTAAGTTGGAATATTTGCTGGGAAGAAGCTCTTATGATAACAATTTATCTCATCAGAATCAGAATATCTAAACTTGCATTGATTTCCCTGCTCTCAAAACACTATGGATATATAATGTGCCAAAACTTGTTAACTTGTGTCCTGAAAACTTTTGTTTGAGAGGGTTATCTCTGGAGTTCATTACACTGGATATTGATATTTCTTCTATGTTTAGCATCAGATCTTTTAATGATTTTATAGTTTGTGATCATGCAACACAACAGGACTCCACAACCACTAAGGTACCACTCTGTTTTACCTTCTCTCCTAGTCTTATTAGTAATTATTTTGAGCAATCTTAGTAGATGTTATTTGATAATTTTTGAGTCATGACTTCATATTACAAATTAAAATTGAAAAAGATAATATTCATTTACATTAATCAATATTGAATTAAAAAAATGGTGAAGAACAATTGCCTCTGTTTTGCATGTTTAATAATGCACAGCGTGGTTGAATTTTTAATCACTTCACACATTCACATATTTGAATGCTAATGGTAAGCTAAGTTTAATAACAATTGCCCACAAAGTTTATTAACATATTAATGTTGAAAGGTGAGAATGACATATACTCCTCTTTCCCATTCAATAAGTCCTAGCTAATCCCCATTTTTCGACAAAATAGAGTCTTGTTAAATTCTCATTTGCTTAACACATATATGCATTTCAGTGTTAATGTTTGGTTAGTTAGCTTTTCCATATTTGGCTAAGGATAAGGAGCATATTGTCATGCTATTGAGTTGATCTAATTCAATAATTGTTACCATATGAAATGGAATCATGATCTGAACATCAATACTCCCCTACTGTTACTAATCCATGAATAAGCAAGTCTTCGGAACTCCCCGTTAATGGCCATGATTAATAGCTTGTAACATATGTAACTCCTTTAACCTATGTTAAATGTTTTGTCTAATAATTTAGACGAAAATGTCCATGTACGATCAGTATAAATAGGTTTCAAAAGTTGTTCAAGGATGATCAAGCAAGAACAGAGTAATTTCTTCCTATTTGATAGCGTTTAATTATCACTTGTTCTGTCGAGTTTCTATACCACCATATCTTAATTAACAAATGCATTTTTCACTATTTTTATTTTTTATTAATTGAGTAAGAATAATTTTATATACTTTAATTTAATTTGATTCTTTCTTCCTCCCCTATTTTCTGTGATGTCAAAATGGTGAAGGACAATTGCCTCTGTTTTTCATGTTTAATAATGCTAGTGTTGCAATCACTTCACACGTTCACATATATCAGTGTTAATGGTAGGTTAAATTTGATTACAATTACCTACAAGTTTATAACATATTGAATGTTGAAAGGTGAGCATCACACACTCGCCTTCCCCATTCACTATGTCATTTGCTACTATCTTTTTTTCTCTCAACAAAACAGAGTCTTGTTGAATCATATTCTCAATTCACTCAACACATTTTTGTGTTTCAATGTTAATGTTTGGTTGATTAGCTTTTCCATATCCTATTAAGGATAAGAAGTATACTGTTATGCTAGTATATGTTTGATCTAATTCAATAATTGTTATCAGATCTTAATATCAAATGCTTTTATCTCTAATTTTTATGATTAAAAAGATGTGAACACTTTTAGAAAATAAAGATTTAAACAAACTCTTTTTAGAAATGTAAATTTATTACCAATGACTTATATTGCCATATGGAGGAAGTATGTGTTTTTAGTGTTAATGATTGGCCAATTAGATTTTCCATAGTTTTTTAATAATAAGGAGTATTTTTGTTATACTTGTAGGATGATTTAATTCAATAATTGTTGATGGATCTTAATATCCAATGTTTTTCTCTATTTTTTATTTTTTTATTAATTTGTTGAGAATAATTTTATTTACTTCAATTTAATTTGATTCTTTCTTCCTCCTATATGTTCTATAATATTAAATTGGAATGTGATATTGATGTTGTGTCTTTGTATTTTATAGGAAATTGAGATGCGCTTGAAAATTTTAAAAAGTCTTACAATAAAAAATTTTAAGATAAAAGAGATTTTCAACTTGAAAATTCTGGAGGCAAAGAAAAGTGCGAAAAGACTTGAACCATTAACATCAAGTTTACAAGAATTGGTGTTGATAGATCTATGGGAGTTGAGGAATATATGTGTGGGCCCCAAATGTATTCTAAGCCTCAACAATCTCTTTGAGTTACAAATTAGAGGATGCAAAAAGCTTGAAGTTGTCTTCTCTACCTCTACATTGAGAAGCCTACCACAGTTGGAGACATTAGTCATATCAGAATGTGAAGAATTAGTTGAGATCATTGAAGAGGATAATGAGGAAAGTGCTGGAGATCATTTGCCTCATCAACCATGCTTCCCGAAGTTAGAACTGCTAATTGTTGAGGGCTGTCACAAGCTGAAGTATTTGTTCTCTGTCACAGTGTCCGGTATCCTTCCACAACTATGGCGGTTGCGGATAGGAGGCGCCTCCTCCCTCGAGCATTTGCTGATTAGACCATATGCGTCGAAAGAAATGGCTAAGAAGGATGTGCTTCCAAAGCTAAGATATGTAGTTCTGGAAAGAAATCCAAGCCTCATGAACATCTGCCATGGGATTGATTTTCAAACATTGGAAGAAGATTCAGTAGTGAATGATTGTCCCAAATTTTCTTTTTATGGTATGCATTCAAACATTCAAATTGAAAACTATTATTATGTGATCATCTTAACGTAACATTGGAAAATCTTACTTGCAGAAACCATCGCTACTCAGCATCAAGATGGCCTAAAGGATCTTGATTCCAATGTTGTGGCAAAAACAGAGGAGAAGGTTTCTTCACATCCAAATACAAATCAGTCAGGCATGGGAGATACCAAAGAGAGCCCAAGTTTAAAAATCCAACAATCCCAAATTGGTTCACCAAACTTCACAGGGGTATGTCTTATTTCACCACCTTGTGGACATAATCATGTTTGTGACAGTGTCTTGGTTATAAAATGCCATTAACAACTGATATATATTCTATATATTTTAAAGTTATCTTGTGAATAGATACATATTTTTTATATAATCTAAAAGTTGGTAGAAATTATTGTTGCTAATTTTATTCTAATACTATTTCACAAACATGATTATATCTACAAGCGTGTAGTACATGCTGTTAAAGTATAAAATTATCAAATTTCTCTGTTTTAAAATTATCTTCTGAGACATGATTTATTTTTAATCCAAATAATGGAAGCAAAAACATTGAACTTGATGAGATATTTATAAAAGAAATCAACAAAAGTTATTCATTGATGAATTCCGCATGACTAAAATTTTTACAATGAATGTTGGTTTGGGCACTAAGGAAATTGTTGAAGAGGATGTTACTTCTAAGATGCCAAGATTGACAAATTTACCATCTGATTCAAAAGACATTGATCAGCTGGTATGTGTTCTCATCTGATTTCTTCACTTTATTTTATACCTAGCAATAGAAAAGGGGATAAATTATTGAGTATTCTTATTTATTTTTTCTCTAAACTCCTAAAGAAGCAAGTGCTCAAATGACTTTGTGATAACTAATATTCACATGTAAAACATCTCCAAAGGAAAAACTTGTGATGGAACCGCAACAACCCAGAAATGGTCAACCAAACTTGGCAAAGGCATATTTCATGGTATTTCATTACATGAGATTCGTTTTAATCTAGATAATTTATTTTCTGAGACATGATTTATTTTAATCCAGATAATGAAAACAAGAAACGTTATATTTGATATTTTTATACAAGAATCCAACAAAACTAAGATGTATAACATTTTATTTTATGAATAAATTCGACATGGCTAAACTTATTATTATTATTATTATTATTATTATTATTATTATTATTATTGGTTGCTTTGGAGGCTAAGTAAACAACAAGAGAAATTGTTGAAGAGGATGTTATTATTGAGACACCAAAAATGTCAAATTCACTTTCTGATTCAAAAGCCATGGATCAACTGGTATGTATTTTCTAATTTGATCTGTTTATAATTCAATTGCATGATGGTTGCAACCACAAAAAAAAGACTAGAATTAAATTTCCTTGAAACAAAACCAAATAAAGTAAAAAAAAAAAACAAAGAGCTATTAATGTGAACAAATTCATCACCTTTTATGTAGAATGAATAAACGCAACATTCTAGACAAATAACACTCACCCCACTCGATCTCATAGCAGTTTCAAATCAAAATGAACGAATTTGGCATGACTAAATTCTCTTTCAACCTATGCTATATGCAATACGAGTAGATTCTGAATGATAACTCCATATCTAATTTAAAATTCATAAGATAAGTTATATAACCCATGCTCGTGTCTCATTCATCTTTATGTAGGATGAGTTTGTTGGCAGTGAAGTGCTGAATAATGAAAAAAATATGGAAGGTCCACAACAACCCACAAATGGGACAAAAAACATTTCAAAGGTATATCTCATGGTATTTGATGATAATCTAGCGCGCGCGCGCGCGCACGTGTAGTAATAGAGTGCTACTAATAATCAATACACACACAAACTACTGATTTCTAATGACATTATATTACTTTTTGCCAAATATGATTATATATATATATATATACATACATAAAAGCTTGTATGAGACGCAGCCATTCTCTAGTACATGACTATTTGCTTTCTGTCTTATAGTTATCTATTGCTAATACTCGGTCACAAACATGATTATATCCACAAGATTGTATCAAAATACTTTCATTCTCTGTGAGGAATAAATTTACTCTCTTTTAAAGTTATTTTATGAAAAGATAGGATGTGTGCCTTTTAACCTAAAAAGTTTGCAAAAATGTTTAAAAAATAAATTTGACAAGGTATTAAAAAAAAAAAACAAACACGATTATATCTACGAACTTGTATTAGGTAATGCTTCCATTACTGCAAAAGTATCTTCTTTCTCTGTCTAAAACTTACCTTCCAAGACACCATTTAGTTTCATAAAAAAATGGCAAAAAAAGATTAAATCTGAGGAGATACCTTTGGGGGAAAATAATAATTACATACAACACATTCTCTTTTATTATTGAATCACACAGACTAAACATTTTTGTTGTACATCTTGTTGGTTAGGGTAATAAAGAAGCAACAAAGAAATTGTTGAAGAGGATGTTATTTCTATGATACCAAAAATGACAAATGTAACATGTGACTTCAGAATTCTTTTTACATCTATTGGGATATCAGCTGGAACAAAAAAAAGAATTAAGAACAATATTTCATAGATGATGAAAATGACATCTTCACCATCTGATTTAAAATTCCTAGGATAACTTCTATAAATTAGATAATATGAAGATGTTTAGGATTTTTTTTACGTACCTAGAGAATGGAAAGAGAAAAAAAAAACAAAAACAGAGTACTGATTTATCTTTTTTATGCCTAGTTCACGTGATGCCTCTCTAAAAGTAAAAACTATTCTTATTTCAAAGAATGAATTTAATGACTTCATTTAAAATTCTAACAAAACTTCATCCGTTTAATTTTTTTTAATTTGATATGTGAATGTATTTATTTACTTAACCATGAATTCAACAATTAAAACTGTAAGCACTTTTGTGCTTTTGTTGGTTAGGGTACTCAAGATCAAGTAGCATATTCAACTATTCTAGAAGATCCTAATGTAGAGAAAATTAAAACAACGAATCAATTAAACAAAGATGAATCTTCAAAGGTAACAAATTTGTTGTTTCTTATATAAGATATATGACATAATGGTAGATGAATTAAACTTACACTACTCTCTTGTTCATCTTCATATAGGATGAGATGGTCCTCAAAGATTTGAAAAAGAAAGCAATTGCAATGGATCCTCGTTCACTACGGGAGACCAGACATGACATACTATATAATGATCCCAAAAATGTTAACAGTTCATTAAAGAATGAATTATAATACTTTAATTTCATTAAAAAAATAAAAACTTAAATATCTTCAACTGATTTGGTGGTGTGCAGATTGTTAAAGAAAGAGTTGAACGTGATACTTCATTAGACACCTTACATCATCCGAGCTCATCAACTTCTACAAAGGTGTGCTTCTTGATTGAAACCATTTAAGGACTTAATAAATTTATCATCTCTATTATAATGATCTATCACTTCCAATAGAAGGTACCTATTCCTATGAGTCCAAATCTCGATGGAGTCATCACCAGCAAAACTATAGAAATTTTTGAAGAGGAAGAGCAAGAGGAAGAGGAAGGTAAGATCTTTTAGTGTCTTAACTTCAAGGTTTACATATAGATCCTTTACTTTGATTGCTTATGTTGGGTTCTTACTTGCAGGTGGCTTGATAGCTACTAAACTTAAGAGAAATGGCATGAAGGCTACAGGTTCTTCATCATCAGAAAAAGAGCACGAAACTTCCCTTCACGGTGACTATATTTCTTTCTTAATTTGAATGAAATACAGTTTCTAGCTTTGGTTTGCACTATATTTTTTACATGTTTTGTTATAGGTGACCATTCTCTACCACCTGGACAAATTTTTTCAAGTGAGCGAGCTTCTAAGATCATCTTACCATTGAGTCTTGTGCCATCAAAATCTCCAACAAGTCCCAAGCGAACTCCCTCCAAGTCTACTTATGGTGAGTTACTTCCTTTTGCTATGAAATTTTATTAACTTTTCCTTCATTAATTTTTTTAATTTTGGATTAGATTTCATATTCCAACGTTGATTTATCTTATTATATTTAGGAAGAAACGTCCAGGACAATGTTGGGAGTGCTAAGAAGCCTTTGCATCGAGTGGTGGATACCATTCAAGATTCCAGTAAATTATCTTGTGCCCTTAATAACATGGCTTGCTTGCTTTTATCATACTTGACTTGATCCTTTGTTGAATCTATAAGTATTTAATTTTGACTTTCTGAGTTTGCTTTTATTATCTCATTCTCTAATGTGATGATGGTTTTATTAGGTGTGGCACCTTCTATTAATGGCACCAATAAAGCTTTGAGTGTTCCTGGGGTGCAAGAGATATTTGATATGATGAAACTAGAAGGTGCTGAACCTTCCATGATAGAAGAAGCATTCAAAACTCACCCACAACTACATCTTTCTTCAGAGGATCGAAGCACTGAGTTGTTATGCTATTCCTATGGAGTGTTGCTAAATATCTTGAACATTTTGGCCACAAAGACCCCCTTCACGATCACTGAGGCAGACAAAAGATTGTTGGCAAAACATTTAAAGGATGCTTCTGTTCTAGGCTTTGACAAAGATTGGCTTGAGTCTATCAGAATCAAGGTTTTCAATTGCGATGCATCAAAAGTTCATCTCATGCAAGAAACTCTAAAGGGTTTAGGCAATAAGCTACAAGCCAATAAAATGGAACTTGCAAATGTTCGTGATCAAGAGGCAAAAGCTTCACAATCAGTAGAAATGGCTCAGAAAGAGTTGGAGGAAGCACATAAAGAGTTCAAGGCAGCATATAAAGAGTTGGAGGAAGCTCAATCTCATTTTAATGTTGCACAACAAGAACATGCAAACGTAAGGGTTCATCATTCTGAACTTCTAGAGGAATGCCAAGAAATTCTGGAACAACGAGATCAATGTTCAGAAATAATTGCTGCCAAATTTAGGCCATTTGGCTTTTAAAATAGATGCCATGTGTACTTTGTAAGTCATGTTTGAATTGTACTCCTTGTAGTTGTACTTTTTTATTTCCAAGAAAAAAATACTGTCATTGACTGTAACATTGCCGTACGTTTATTTGCACAAGGACCATCGTGCATGCCATTATATGCTTGTAATGTATGTGTGTTTAGTTTCAAGATGTGTTTATCTTTACACATTTGCTACTAATAAAATTGAATTGAATTGAATACAACGTAAAGAAAAAAGCTACAAGGATTTAGTTGTTTTAGTTGTTTAAATACTCAGTTAATCAATAAATCACCTCATTAATTTTGCAAATTTTGCTCCGTTGGATAAAACTAGCTCCCAATTTATTTTCCTACTTAGTTTACACAAAATTACAGTTTCTGATCTATGAAATCTTCAACTGGCACAAGGATTAAGAAAACAATATGTTACGCATAAAAACAACATGCAAATTATGTTACAAGACCAGACCAATCATGAAAACAAGATGAAAACCGTTGAATAGGACAAGTTGGGTGTTTCTAGCCCAAGAGAAGTTTTGATAATGGAATGATATTGGGCACTGCCCTCTTTTCAACCGAAAAAAGAGAACAAGATAACAACCACTTCATAGGGGAAAACCGGAAAAGATCAACGAGAGAGCAATAAATCACTTAATCAAAGACTACTCTCAGGTGATTGTGAAATCTCTTGAACGTACCAAAAAAGGAAGAAAAAAAGCTCTATTCTGACCAAAACTTCACAAAGGCATCTACAAAAGCTCTGAACACTGCCACAAATGGGTTAATATGTTGTTTCGTTGAATTTCCAGGAGTCCCATCCCATGACTCTCTGCAGAGAAACCATATGGACGTTAAATTAGCAGGGGCAAAAGAACCTAAGCAGCAATAGCTCACATCTGAGTTACAACATGGCATTTAAGACCAGAGCGGCAATTGAGATGCCAACATCATATATACTTACAGATTGATTCTATCTAAAGTTGGGTTGCTTTTCTGGGTGTTGCCACCAAGCTGACCATTAATTTCATGCTCATTTGTGCGCTCCTGGCCTTCTTTAGTCTTGGCATGAAAGCCATCTTGAATTTTTGTCTGTCAATGCATTTATACATCAGAGAAAATTTCTAAACCATGGACTAAAATAAACAGCAAACAAACATGCATCTGATTCCTGACTAGACTAAAAGCACATTCTCTAGATACTTCAAGATTTCTCGAAATTAATGGAAGTCCAAAATAGCAAGCAGAAGGTCTAAGTGGTCTCAGGAGAAAATAAAATGGCATCAGCTTCTCATCACGAAGAATATGACCATGCATGGCATATTGCATATCCAACTTCTCTGAAACTAGCAAAGGCTTGTCCATCCATGTTGAGCTCAAAATTTCAATCCTCATCACAGGAGATCCAAAGTTTAAGATGGCTTGATACCAGTGCAATAGTTCATCACCAACGCCAATTTCAGGACGTTGATTCTGCGATGACCTAGCAGCCAAACATCACATATCTTAATGTGGAAACTGACTTCTTTTTCTTAAAAAAAAAAAAATTGGCCAAGGTGGGAACTGACTTCAATGATGAAGCAACACGTCTAATTTTTTTCTTCTTGATTTTTCTTCTTGAAAACTCCACTAAGTGGCCCAGACTTTATTTAGACTCCTTTCCTCTACCACCTATCTCTGTAGTTCTCTCCTCCTATCTCCATACTTTCTTCTCAGTCCAATATCTAAATGCTGAAGAGCACTAGATCTTTCCTATCTCTGCTCTTTGTCTCTCACCCTCTTCTCACATTTTCTACCCATGCAGTAGACCCGCAAAATCTAATCCTCCCCCCTCCATGGAGCAAGAACTTAGCTACAAATTGAATTTTGTCAATGACTAGAACATTTGCTTTGCAATCTCATGCAAAAAGGGAAGCCAGAATACTTGGTTAATTTGCCAGTTGACATGGTATTAGAGCCTTTATGACCATGGGATTGGACAAAGTTCAATCCTTTCCACCTTTTAACTATAATTAAATTTTATCACTAGATATGATGGGCATTTTGGCTATGTCCATGCTTAGAGCACAAGGGGCCTTCAAGGGAGGGACCTGTTAACAATTTCATAACAAGGTATTCACAAACGTCAACTCAATCACTTTAACTAATTAAATTGATCTTTAACACAATTGTACATTATCTTGTTTTACAACTGAAAGCTGTTACATTTTGACATATTTTAGAAGACTACTGTCCATCAATTTCAATGCGTATTAACAATGCTAAAAGAGGGGGAAATCTTGGGGAAGATCTGATACGCAGAGTATCCAATGAAACAATACGCATATGCTTTATATGTTGATGCACCAGAAATCAGGATGTAAGAAAGCTTAACATGACAATCAACATAAGTTACAAGCTTTAGGTACCAGATCATGCAAACAACAGTATTAGGCATGCCTAAATCAAAAATCAAAACTGAATTAAATAATTCCTTCTAGTAAATAAAACATATAAGAAATAAAAACATAAACTACACCTCAGTCCCCATAACACAGGATCAAAAAGAAAAATAGAACCTAAAAATTACTTAACTGCATCCCACTGATCATAGTTTAACATTTTAAAAATCTGGATAAACTAACCTTGGCACCAGATATGGTTTGACTTTGCTCAATGACTTCAGCAGTCAAAATATTGCTTTGATGAGGAGCTTTAACTTGAAGATCAGCACATATTTCATTGTCATGAGCAAAATGTTCTTCAAGGGCTGCCTGCATTGTGCTTTTGACTAGTGTATATCCAACATTTTTTCCTTCTTCCTCAATACCAGAGGAAAATGTATTTCCAAGGTCATCCACAGACTTCTCATCAAGTAAATTAGAATTCTTCATCAACTCAACACTCTCTAATTCTGATCTTGCCTTGCCTATATGCAAGCCCAGATTTTTTGTTTCATTTTCTGAAGAATTGATCAGTTCTCTTGATTCTCCAGAACTTTCTGTTCCAATGGCTGTCCTTGTAACAGACCTTATTGGAAATGTCTCTACAACCACATCAGCTGTGACAGGGCTTAAATTAGTTATAGGCACTGCCAAATTTTGTGTAACATCCTCTTCGGTTGCCAAAGACTCAATGGCTTGAAAGTCAGGACTACTTGCTTCAACAGAGTCCTTGTTTGTTTGATCTACCTGGCTACCATGGATGAGATTTCCATTGCCACATGTTTCAGCCAATTCCTGGTTTGTCTCATCTACTTGGCTATCACTAATTACATTTCCATTTCCATACGCTTCATTGAATTCCTTGTTTCTTACACTCACCTGGCTACCATTGAGTACATTCCCATTATCAGATAACTGAACCTCAACTCTAATGTGCTCCCCAGAAAGCATTTTCTCACTCGTACCCTTAAGATTGCTAGGCTCATGATGATTTTCATTTGGAGATGCAGCCAAGTAAGTATTAGGATCTACAGCAATTGAACCTAACAGATCTCGTTCCAAAACCTGGTCAGAGGGATGCTCCTCTAAAGTGAACTTAGCAGGCCCCAACACTCTATTCTCTTGTATTATATCTCGTACAATCTCCCGTACTGTGTAGAAAGAACCACCAACTTCCTTGTGGGTAAGATTAAGTGATGGGAAGCTTCCATTGTTAGACTCTTGGTACCTGAAGCAAAGTTTTCAGTTAGGTGAAACTAAAGAGAGCACTACATTCAATGACCCTGGCCAAAAGGGCTTTGATTGAGAGTAAAGTAAATGACAAGAATAATTTGGGAATCTTATAAGAACTCAACCTCCCAATACAATAACCCACATGCAGAGAGAGAGAGAGAGAGAGTTAAGAGTTGAATAACATCAAATAACAGAAAATAAACTAAATACAATCCATCTGTACATAAAAAGGGATTTATTAAATATGTAAAATAAACCAGCCATATTAACAATAGTTTAGTACTAAGATTTCAATATCTGGAGCCTCATCTACCCCATCCACATACAGTTTCTTAGAGAAGGATGTCAAATAACACTCAGTTTCCAAATATCATGCCAATGAATTTAATATACCAGAAAGATAGGAAACTAAGAGAGAAAGAGGAAGAATTAGAAAGGGAAACATAGAATATGGAGAGATGAGAGAGAGATAGGAGAGAAACACAATTCCATTCAATTTGTTGTTCTCATAGCCTAATTGCAAACTATCCAATCCCCCTTATTCGCAGACCAAAGAACTAAGAACCCATTAACTAAAAGCCTGTTTGGTTTCTGTTCTCATGTTTCATTTTTAAAACTGTTTTGCAATATAGTTTTCAAAATTGTTTTTCAAAACAAAATAAAATAAAAATCCGTTTGGTTGTATTAATTTAAAAACAATTTTAGAATTAAAAAATAAACTGATAGTGATGATTATAGGTAGTTAATGATAGTGATTTATAATAAAAATTGGTCAACATAATTGCAATTTTTAATAATCAAATGTAGTATATTTTAAAATAAGAAAAATAAAAAGAAAAACAACTTGAAGTTGTTTCTATTTTTTTGTTTTTATGAAAATAGTTTTACAAACAAGTAAATAGAAAACACTTAACCAAATAAGTATTTAAATTTTTTTGTTTTCAAAAATAAAAAACAGTTTTTAAAAATAGAAAACAAACAGGCTCTAAGTCTCCCCTTGTATTACAATTATATATCAGAATGGATAGCATCAAATAGGTAATTGAAGTAAGTTAGATACTTAATAACCGGCACAAAGAAGTATACTACATGCTAAACAGAAAACTGCATACCTTAAACAAAAATTAGACATTGTTAGGAAAATTGCCAACAATAAAATATTATAAAGGAAAGTTATATAAAATGCAACAGAACATTCCTAAAATGTTAATGAAAGAGTATAACTCTTCAAGTTCATCAATACAGGTAAATCGTGGCCTACAACTCACCATAACTGGGAGTATGTTACATGCCCTCAATTCCCTGCATTGCAGACATGATTTACTCCCGGAATCCACACATCATCCCAGGAATGAAAATGGAATGACCCGCCAATAGCAACCAATATCAGAATTTGATAAGAACCATTTGTAAAATTAGCTTTAATGTGCACGTCAATAGGATTCTTTTGCAAACGCATTCGAGCACAAAGATATATTCCTTTCGAGAAAAGAAGAAATGTACAAGTTCTTAAAAAAAATTATAAAAAAAAGTACAGGAGATAATATTTCGAAGTCGAACAACTCAATAAAATCAAGAGAGAGCAGAGTATAATTACTTCTTTATAAATGTTTCAACCATTGCCTTTCTTTCCTCTTTGGAACGGCGAATCCTTGATTTTCTTACTTCAGACTCATTGCGCTTGGCAAGGGCAAAGGTTTGCCCCACCCAAGCACCCTTTACAGCATGCATTGTGTTTAGCAGGATGCGAAAGAGCACATACTATAACAATTCACTATGATGGACAAGGAACAGAGCTAAACACGCTCTAAACCCTAAACCCAGACAATATGGAGGGGGATGACGACGACGACGAGACGACTAGTGTAAAGTAAAGGGCCGTGCGGCGGCAAAATTATATTGTGCGTGTAAGAAATGGGAAGGAAAGGAAAAAGTAATAGCGTAATATAAAATTAATATTTTTGTGAAAGTTTAAAATAAAATTTGGTATAAGATGAAAGATAAGGTAAGTTGACCCTTATTTTATAAAAATATCAAATATATTAACAATAGAAAAAAAAAGTCATAAAATTAAAATTAAAAAAAAATAAATGATGACTTAATCGAATAGAACTATACTTCAAAAATTGATAGCTTAAAAATTTATATGAAGATGAAATGTTGCTAGTACGCTCATAATTCTGGCTGTGTACTGTTTGACTTGAAATTGACATAGGTGAGGAAGAACCCATTTATTAGGTACAATAGATAGATATTTGAGCACATATATTTTTTTTTCCTTTTATTTGATTTGCTCTATTTAAGTTCTCTTTTTCTTTTTTTTTAAATAATTCAGTGTTGATCCAGTGGTAAGAATTTGACCAATGAAACATTTATGAAATAATTTGCCAGTAATGAAATGCCATTTTTTCTAATAATTCTAGTCGGCACTTTTTCCCAAAACGAGATGTAATATTGAGAAAAGATTTCATGCTACTCTTAAGCTACCCTAAGATTATAAAATTTGTTGTTACCAAATAGAAAAGATTTATTTGCATGGTTTTATATAATAAATTTATTCTTTTTTAGTATAAAAAAATAGTTTAGATAAATTGTGTTCAAAAACTTACTAGAAACAAGGTATCCCGGTAACTTAATAATAGAAAAACCTTTTAATTGATGTGGTCATGAATATGTAAGAATGTTTTTCATGCATCATTTTCAAGTTGGTTTCATGGATGCTTTGTTCTCACTCTCACCAGAATTGCTTCCAGATTGACAATGATACAATGCAGAAAGGAAACAAGCAGCTGCAAGCATATTATACCTTCCCAGTCGTCAAGCTTTAAAAAAATAATATAATAATAAATTCATCAGTTAAGAGTTATAATTTAAAAACTTCAAATTTAAAACGTCCAAATAAATTTTAAATGATCCAAATTTGATAAATATATGGTGTTCATTAGCATGATGAGCAGTCATATGTACCCATGCCCCAAGTATATTCCGTATCTTTTAGCTCTACTGAGAACAACTGAAAAGCTGAGCATAGTAGTAAAAAAATATGATATCTAGCTCTTGCTAAGAATCAACTACGCTTACTCTAACCCAAAATAAAAACAAAAAGCTTACCAAGAGTTGCTTTGTTGAACTGATAGAAGAAATTAGATCAATTTATTTTGAAATCTCAAATTCAAGTTTAAAATATACAATCGTATTAAATAAATATATTAAAAACATTTTCAAAATACTCAAAGAAGCCACAGTTGATAATAACGCTCTTACATAGCAGAAGGTTTAAATTAGTCTATATAAATGGTAGTAATATCCCAAGTTCTCCAGGATATAGAAAGCGATAGATTCAAAACAAAAGAAACAAAATAAAACAAAACAAAACAAAGAAAGAATCAACTTAGCTTCTTAAAAATCAGCTTATAATTAATTTTTCCATAAATCATCTCATGTCAAGTACAACTAAACTGCCTTTACTAAATAGTATAATTCTTAATAAACACAGCAAGCCATAACATAAACTTTATCACCTGCATAAAATATCATAGGAAAAAGTTTAATATATTCATCGTTTCTCACTAATAAATTACATCTCAAACTTACACACACTTGATATACATACATTCACGCATATACAGGTCCACTAAACTGTATGCTCCATGTCAGCAAGTATTTACATTGCTTTCTCCATGCCAAATCCAAAAGCTTCGCCAGGACATTTTGTCGAAACAAAGTGAGATAAACCCTCGACAAGGATCAAGATCTAATATAAACTGAGAGAAATCCAAATGCATGTAAAACTAATAAATTACATTTTATTTTTATTTTTCCCAGACAGACCTAGCATCTTCACCTGGACATTTGCTGCTCTTTTGCTGGATAAAGGGGACAGAAACACTGGGATAATTAAGCCCCAATCAAAATTCAAACCTGATAATTAAGGACTCAAGTTGATGAAATTACCTCAAAATGGTGAACCTTTCACTTTAATATTCTTCCTGACAAACACCTGATCAAAACCACTTCTGTCCACCAAGCTGAACACCAGAAAATATAGTTAAAAGACTAACTAGTGGAGAATTGAGATGATAAGCAGAGTAAGTTTCATGAAGCTTACCTATTATTTTGGCTTCACTTTCAGTACCATGCAAGAGGAGAAAAGGGTAGAGAAGCCAAGCGTTAAGCTTGCACATCCCACCAGCTCTTATTTTCGGTTGGCAATAATTGATGTCACATACGCAATAGGTATTAAAATCAACTATGTTCCTCAGGTAATAGAGACAAGATTATAGGTGCATGGACAAAAGATTAAAAGCAGCAAGTCAAGAATCCGCTCTCAGCTATACATCTCATGCAGTAACAAATGTATTAACATGATTTGTGACAAGAGAGTTTGGAGGATAGAAGAGAAAGTCCAGCGAAAAACATTGGATCTAAATGCTCAGAGTCGTGAAGCTAATTTAAACCAGCTGCTGGGGTCGGCAGCGCAGGCCAAAATGAAGTTATCTTCACTAGGAGTCTTTGCAGAGACTTCATTTTCCTGTGAAGCCTTTTTGCAAAGGTAAGACAATGACTGCAACCATGAAACTAATGTTGGTTTTCGTACAACATCATCACATTCAGCCACCTGTGAATATAACTCATTAAGAACCATGTTTTGTGCATCTTGTGGTAACTTGGTAATCAGCTGTGCTAACAACTTCATTAAATCCACCAAGACCTAGCAAGCAGTAAAGGCTTAATTAAATTAACTCAATAACATCGTTCAATGAACATGAGAGCAAAACAATTTCCAGCATGGCCAATCTTAAGCGCTGAATTATGCAATAATTGATTTTATTTTTCATAGGTCCACCTAGATTCCAGGTGTCAAACTTGAATCCTAGAAGGTCCGCACTGCTTCATTTTATATTACTTTGTGGCAAAAAACAACGTGAATTTTGATTGATGAAAACAAGATGACATGTTTTAGTTCCCAAACCTCCGCTCTCCAAACCCCCCCCCCAAAAAAAAAAGGAAAAGAAATCAGGTAATCGTAAGAAATTTAAAAGTAACATACTTGTATGTCAACCAAAAAAACTATGTGCAAAAGCAAGTCCAGTAATCTCTTGCAAGGCTCTGTCTCCCCCTGCAACTTTTTCCATGCATCAGCATCATTAGTGAGGACTTCGGCACAGAGCATGTCTGCCTTCTCAACAAGATTGTTGATGCAATAAAATATTGAAGGACTTCCGGCAGGAAGATGTCGAACAATTCCTATAACTCCAGAAGCCATACCCTCAAAAGGAGTTATGCCTGGATACCCCTGTATTTAATGTTCCACAAAAGATTAGAACTGTTTTCAAGTTATCAGTCTCAAATTTAAGACATAAGTTAAAGTTGATTCAGATACCAATAAGGATCTTTCTATGTAATAGAAAACAAGTTGCTCCTTCAGTGATAATCTTCCATTCATTTCAGATTCTTCCCCAAAAGAAATAAATGCCATAAACAAAGAATGTGAGGCCCGAGCTACTTTTCCATTTGGGTGTTCCATGTATCTAGTTTCACTTGAATAAGGAAGCAAATTTGCAGCAAATGATCATGAGAACAGAGAGCAAACAAGAGCATAAACCCAAAACACCCAGTAATATTATTTTGATGTAGGATACAAGAACATTGTTGGAACTACCATGTTCCTGAATACATGGCTGGGCAAATGCTCAACACAAGTTGGAATGACTCGTAGGTAAAATAAAATGCGAGCTGTTTGTACCTCATCCTTAGACCATATGTATTTGGTTTTCTGGTCCAGCGTAAATTCTACAAGACATGTTAAATCTTATTCAAAGCAAGATAATCAAAACCAGCGCGGGAAAACATATCATAGATCCAATTGAATAAAATAAATTAGGCTTCTTAAAATGATAAATCACACCTGGACTATTTGTCAATTCAACATAAGAAGGCATGGACTTCACAAAAGAAGTGCAAAAATGCTCGTTCTCCTTAACATTCGCAACAACCTTGCGAATTATTTCTATGTACTCTGGCAAACGGACATGACGAAAATATTCTACACAAGAAAATGATACTAATATCTTCAACGAGACATCCATTTGCATTTCTTGAGTGAATTTGGAGTTCAACTTGTGCTTTGTGACAGCCAATGTAAAAACCACAATCATGAGAAAAGCAGATTCAGCAATTTTCCCCAAACCCTCAAGGTGCTTATCCTCCTTGCCTTTAAAAAACAAAGCTACTTGCCTGTACCCGAAGTACAAATCTTGACAATATTTCCATATAAGATTTTCCACAACATCCTTATGTTCTTCATCTGCTGAGACATACTGATTGCAGAAGATCCCTGTTATAGCTCCAGCTTCCTTGAATAGGATATTATCTAGATGTTCATTGATCTCAGTTAGCTTCAGCCCACCAGAACCTCTTGACAAGTCAAGGGCAGTTTTGCACATACAAGGCAATGGAAGTATTTCAGTTAACAATGCCAAAGCAAGGCAAACAAAAAAAGAGGAATGACCAGAAAATGAGCCAGTTCGAGCCAATGCTAATGAGACACATTGGAGCAAAAGTCTGTCTCTAAGATCATTGCCTGAGATTGACATATCAGATCTCAACATCCTTGAGAACAAATTGCTAGCTAAAGTTTCCATTGAAACAATTGCACAAGTCCTCGCTTTAGAGATGGTATCAGATTTAATAGTGCTTGACATAGATCTTTTTGAAGCCGTCACAACTCCAGCCCCAGCCATGAAAACGGCAAATGGAGCATAATTTACCTTAAACTTCTGAAAAGCTTCTTGACAAAATAAGTGTATTTTATCCCAAAACTGGAAATTAACCAAGTTTGACATAACCCAATCAAACAAATAAAGAATCATCAATCCCTGAGAAATACTTCCCTGAGGCCCATTTTCTTCGCCCCAAATTTCAAATAATGAGTCCAGTATTGAAATATTATAAACTGTCGCAGGAGAAGACAAAGCATACCCAATTCCTGCCAGAACATCAGGCACAAGTTCTGTAAACAAGCCAAGGAATTGATACTCCTTTATCAACAGTCCAGACAGTATGTCCAAGCAGGTCGTTTTGGATCTTTCAGGTGAAGAGAGCACAGAAGAAATGGCACCTAGCAGGAGAATAACTTCAGAAAAGAAGAAAGGATCTTTTCTAGAATCAAATTGAACAGAGATGAGGTGAGAGAGGACCTCCACTACTGAATCAATGATAGCTGAAGTAGGCTTCAAGGTTTTTCTCACCCATATGTAAAGAAGCCTAAACATAAGAGGATAGGACTCATAAGGAAGAGAATGATTTGGAGATGAAAGAATGGCAACAAGCAGCTTCGCCTGGGGGTCTGCAACATGGACAGATGTTTGAGAATTGACAAGGATTTTAAGAGATTGCAGATGATGTAAGGTAAAAGACTCATATTTAGCAGAGTCCCTGAGGTCAGCCCATGCCTGAATAATGGCTCGAGCAGATGGAGAATTAGAGTTTCTAGGATTTAATTTGCTAGCACCGCCACATTTGTTCCTCAGCCATTCCTCCAAAAAGAGGATGTTGGGTTGTTTTGACATATTGTCAAATGCTAATGCTGCAAAAGGAGTAGTAAAATTAAGATGAAACGGCAATCAACCACTGTTCTCACATAGTTACAAATTCAGCTTTACAAATTTCATTATCACAAGGTCAGTAAACTATTTGAAAACTATGCAACAATGGTCAACCAACACTGACCAACTCACAAACAAACAAATTTTCAGCTATCACAGTTAGGGGGGAAATAACAATAATTTTTTAGATGCACACAACAGTTCTTGACCCAGAAAATTATCCCAAAAAAAGAAGACATTGAACAGGAAGCCAATCTCACATCATACTAATTTACAGATGAAATGCACAATAATATAACAAATCAAAACTCGAGGGCAAGACAGCTGGAAGAAAACACCATCAAAGGCAACAAAGAAAGTCAACTGGAGTGAAGAATGAAAACTTGATGTTGAAATGCTTAGCAAATGAAAAAAATGAGTTATTAATACCAGTAGACGGCTATTCAAGTTGAAGCTGTTTGGGATTTAAAGAGGAGAGGAAGGGTTTTGGATAACACTCAGCAAGAAGAAAGTAATGCCAAGCTAGGGAGGGAGCACACTACACCACGAAGAAGCGAGCACCCAAAGGATTAGACTTAATTGTTTTAAATAAAAGGCCAGCGATATACTCTTCATCCTTCTGTTTCATCAAGGCCATTAGATCCTGTTTGCTGCTCTTCTATTTGCCCTACTTCCAGATAATCTAGAACCTCTTCTATTCTAAGTTTCTAGCCGTCTCACTTTCCATGGGGCACTGGCTGTCTAATTCTACAGTTTTTTTAACCTTTTCCATTTTTCAAACTATTGCGGTTCATAGTTTGAAAAATTAATTTAATGTTAAGAGTTTTTATGTGATACACGAATATATATATGTATATAAATTAGCAACCATTCTACTTTCCACCCAAATTTCAATCACATAAAAATTAGCTAATTAAAAATTATAAAGCCAATGCCTTTTTAAAGAAATAAAATATAATTTTCCGTCTTCAATATTTTTCAACACTTTTTCATCAAACTTTTATTTTAAAATCTGTCAGTTGGAATTTAAAAATCTTGATATTGATGCTTTCTTAAATTGATATTAATTACACCTATACGGTGCATATTACACTTTTGATTACAACAACAACAACAACAACAACAAGCCTTTATCCCACTAGGTGGGGTCGGCTACATGGATTGCAAGACGCCATTGTGCTCTATCATTTATTAAGCTTTTAGAAATATTATTAATTAAGAGATCACGTTCAACAACTTCCAAGAGTGTTCTCTTAGGCCTTCCTCTACCTCTCTTAATCGGACTCAAAGTTATATGTTCCACTCTTCTCACTGGTGCCTCCCTTGGTCTTCTTTGTACATGCCCAAACCATCTCAACCGATTTTCTACCATTTTTTCCTCAATAGGTGCCACCCTCACTTTTTCACGTATGTGCTCATTTCGAATTTTATCTTTACGTGTATGTCCGCACATCCATCGTAACATTCTCATCTCTGCTACTCCAACTTTATGCTCTTGCTGTCCCGTTAGAGCCCAACATTCACTACTATATAACATTGCCGGTCTGATAGCAGTACGATAAAACTTTCCTTTAAGTTTATTAGGCACCTTACGGTCACAAATAACTCCTTTAGCTTTTCTCCAATTAAACCACCCAGCTTGAATTCTATGTGAAATATCTCCACTGATTTCGCCATCATTTTGGATAATGGCTCCCAAATATCTAAACTTTTCCACTTGAGGTATAATTTGATCTCCCAATTTCACTTCCAAATTATTTTCGAATAGTCCTTTATCAAATTTACAATATAAATATTCCGTCTTACTTCTCTCAGACGAAAACCTTTCGACTCCAATGTCCTCCTCCATAACTCAAGTTTGCAATTAACCTCTTCTCTTGTCTCTGCTATAAGAACTATATCATCCGCGAAGAGCATACATTTCGGGATTTCCTCTTGAATATGTTCCGTCAAAACATTTAAAATCAAGTTGAACAAATAAGGACTCAGAGATGATCCCTGATGTAGCCCAATCTTTATAGGAAAATCCTTTGTTTGACCACTAGGCGTTCTTATACTAGTTTTTACCCCCTCATACATATCTTGTATGGCTTTAATATAAGCAATCCGTACTCCCTTTTTTTCCAACGCTTTCCAAAGCACTTCTCTTGGTATACGGTCATAAGCTTTTTCCAAATCAATAAAAACCATGTGTAGATCTTTATTTTTACAACGATACTTTTCCATTAATCCCCTTAGTAGATAAATCGCCTCTGTAGTTGATCTACCTGGCATAAAACCAAATTGATTCTCAGAAATACTTGTCTCCAATCTCAACCTGTGCTCAATTACTTTCTCCCACAATTTCATTGTGTGGCTCATGAGTTTAATCCCTCTATAGTTAGTACAATTCTGAATATCTCCTTTATTTTTATAAATAGGAATTAATGTACTTCTCCTCCACTCATCAGGCATTTTCTTGGACCGTAAAATCACATTAAATAACTTAGTTAACCATCTCACCCCTTCTTCACCTAAACATTTCCACGCTTCGATAGATATACATTTCCACGCTTCGATAGATATACAACACTTTTGATTACACTTAATTTAAATTACCTTAGATATCACAAGAAGAAAACACCCAAAATCCAACTTTGCCGAATTCAGAAACTGATTTATAACTAGTAACTTCAGTACCCCGACATATCAATACAATACCATCACGCCATTAGCCCTGTCATTTTCCAATCCAGCACGTTCAATACAATATGATATATATATATATATATATATAACACACAAAAACACACCACTTTAGTGATACTCTCCCTCATTCCCCAAAGTGATATGTTTCCTTGGCTTTGTCACCATGAAATTTTGCTTCTCACTCCCCTCAAACATGCTTCAGTTCAAACTAACTAAAGCTTAAAGCTTTATTCTTCTAACCTTAATTTTCTTTCTGACAGAATAAGACAACTCACTTTCTATAGATAATCATTTATTAAATAAACCACTACACCAAATCCCAATCAAACAGCTAGCAAGCAATACTTAGTGCAAGATTGAAATCTATATATGCTTCGTACGTCTACATCCACCTATTCTTCAATTAATAATTACAACCAAACGACAAATATGAGACCTAACTAGTTAACACTACATTCCTAAGTGTACCTGTGGCCATCATATTCTCCAGTTTCAATACGGCTTTGCATTTTTTAACTATAACTCACAGATCAAATCTAACATATTTTATAGGCGGTTTCATTGCTTTTAATATATCACTATCAGTACATCAACTATCGTCCTAACTCAGATTCAACTCTAAAATCAGTATCACCTCCACTGACACTGCAAATCCCTAAAGCTCAAAGGTCCAAACTTTTCTGGAGAACTAATAATGAGGAATCAACATCCTTTTCTGCAAAGCAAGGAATGCAAAAGAGTGTGGCATATGAAATGGAATTTCACAGTAACAATATTAGGCAATGCAACTAGAAACATAATGAAGCATACGAGACAAAAAAGAGAGAGCTACCGCAGGAAAAGAACCCTGGAACTCGATGAGGGAGAAGGAAAAGCTGGTAGTTTCCTGCAACAGCAGTATTTGGTTGATAATGGAAAGGAAAGAACGGTGGCAAGGGCGGAACTAGTCTCCTGCTATTGAGGGAGACTGATTTCTTCCCATGTTTGCCTGGAGAAGGAAGGAGAGTTTGTAGAAATGATAAAAACAACCTTTATTATCACCAAAAAGTGCAGCAAATTCTGGTATGATGCATCAACTATTTTGTTGCCTGGCGCGACTACCTGAAGAATCAGACAACTTGATTCCGACCAACAGCGTAGATGGAGGGAAACACTGGTTCTTTTTGTTGACCAAAAATGCTCAATACTTTCCTCCTTCAATTCGTTTCCTCACTCTCTCAATGTTTATTTGAACTGAAAATTTGTTTCTTGGTATCAATGTCTGCCTCCAACTATCACTGTTATCCCCAAATATCACAACTGTAAAAGAATCAATTGGTATTATGGACGAAAATGAAAGAATCGGCAAAGAGATTTGAGGAGGTGGAATATAACGGTCTGTTTGATTTAATGGTGGGGAGGGGATGGATTATAACGATGCTTGTTCGAAAGGAGAAGAGAGAGAGCAATAGACATACGGATAGTGGAATTTGGAGAAGATGGCGATTTCGCTGAAGTATATTTTGTTCATTCCGTATATTTTGTCACAATCAGGGTTGCCGGTTCTTAAAGCTAAGCCTCACAATCAACCCAGGAAGAAAAAAAAATCAAAGTAGAAAAGAAAAAAGAAAAAGAGAACAAACAGCACCGGCGAAACCTGGAGGACGTCGATGAAGTACCAGAGCACAGTGGCAGCGGAGGGCGTAGGGGTCGCCGCTGAGGTGACGACGGCCGGAGCTTCTCGGAGACGGAGACGGAGACGGAGAACGCAGCTATGAAGGGGTGCTATGAGTTTTTTCCCCCCGGGTTTAGTAGAGGCGGTGTCCCTCCCGGATCCAATCTTCAGTGCTGAGTATAGTGATGTGATCTTTAATTTGAACGGTGTTTATAAAACATAATATGAGCTTAATAAAATATAATACTCAAAGAATAATGAATGCCTTGCGAATAAGTTATAAAACTCACATAGAAGATAAAATTTTACAAATAAATATAATAATAATAATAATAAATAATTATAGTATAACAGAAAAAAATAAAAAAATAAGATATATATAAAAATATAAAACAAGTTAGAATAAAAAAAAATTACAAAAAGGATAAGAAGTTATGAATAATAATACATGAATTGTATATGAACAAATAATAAAATTAGAGTTAGAAATCTATGATAGAAAAATGGTACAAATTATTCAAAATCAAAAATAAAATAGAACAAGATAGTAAAACAATTATAGAAGAAGAAATAATAGATTATGAAGAAAATAATAGATTAGCAAAAATAACGTTACAAGATTACACTCCAAATAAGAAAAAGAAAAATCAAAATCAACAAAAAAAAAAAACACATACGTATGGCTAAATAATAGATGAAGAAATAAGTGAAGTAGATTACCGAGAATTAGAGGAATTAATGGAATTAGAAGAAAAAGAAAAATTAAAAGGATTAAAAAAAGAATATGGACATTTAATAAATAAGAATTATGATGAAGCTATTATTAATATGTAAAATACTCAATCAACACAATTTAATCCCACAAATTTAGAAGGACAAGGATATACAAATACAAATGCAGAAACAAGTAGGATAACATAAGAAAATTTACTTGAATCAAATAGAAGAATAGTAGATGAAATAATGCTAGAATCAGATGGGGAAAAAAAAAACAGAAACCACATTTAATATAAAATAAAATACCTTAAGAATCTTTTAAAGCTACTTTTAATATACCCGATAAAAATATACCCACACCTTTAACATAATATAAAATAAAACAAATATCTAATATAGAAACATGGTTAGATTTAGATTGTAATATACATAATGAAAGAATATTAGAAGAATGGGCTAAGTCAACATTAACAGCATTAATTGAAAGAAATTTAGATTTTCAACAGCTTTTTTATTAGTAGAATCAACATTTATGGTATTATAATAAGAAATTATGTAACATTAATAAGAAATGAATTTATAGGAGATAGTTTATCATTGAATGAATCAACTAAAAAGAAATAACTATAAAGAAAACGCATGAAATAGAAATATGCTCATTAAAACCAAAATACTTAAATGTTTACATATGTGAATTTAAAAAATATTATTATGATGCTAGAATAATAGACCCAAAAGAACAAAAATTCTATTTAGATTTATTTTATAAAAAATTACCAACATTAATATCAAATACAATTGTACAAGACTACAAAAATACCTATCAAGTATCAGAACAAGAGATAGATGAAATAACAAGTACAACAGTAGAAGTAATCAAATTTGTTGAATATATTCTTTCCTCTTATTAAATTAAATAATAAATTTATTTTTGAGATTAGGTATATATTTCTTATTGCTAACTCATTTAACTTTTTATAATTTATAACTAATCTAAATTTTTCTCTTTTTTCTTCACTATATTTAATAACTATCATTGCTGGTGATGAATATTCAGATCTATTTTTTTATTAAATCATATTGTTTCATTTCATTTATGTGTATAATAAATTCTTTTTATTATTTTTTATCCATAGATAAAGTTTACAATTTATTTCTTTATTATAATCTCTTAATTCTATTTGCTAAATGTTTTAATTTTTTCCAATGAATTAAAGGATGTTCACTACAATTATCTAACAATCTTTGTTCAATAGTTTTCTTTTCTACAACTTTTAAAGTTCCTGACATATTTATGATATTTATAACTTGATTTGTATATAAAGTTTTTTAACTAGGTAAGAATTAATTTTCTTTTAAAATTTTTCATCTTTTCTACTATATAATTTTGTTATTCTTAGTCCCCATACTTAATGATTATAAGGTATTATAAACACTATGCTTTATGAAACATATGTAAAGGATAGTATTGTTTTATAAAATCTATTCATAATATTACATCACATGAATTATCATTATATTGGTTTAATTCTTTAATTTTTAATTCATATTCTCCTATTTGTATAATAATATCTTTTTCTTCTAATTCTATAATATTTATTTCTTTTTTTAGTCTTTGCATTCTTAATATTTTATTTTTCTTTGTTTATAATTCATTTAGTAATACATTTACTTTTACTACTAAATATTTACTTCAGTATGTACTAAAGCATGATATTTTTTTGATCTATATTTTTAATAATTAAATTTTATGAGTATATAATATAATTTTATCATTATATTAATTTTATTTTTGGTATTACTATGGTTTGATAATTTATATTTATTATTATTCTATATTTTACATTTATGAAAATAAAAATTTTAATAAATATTTTTATTTAGTATAGATTTAATTTAAAAGATCTAATTTAATATTAGCATTTTTATAACTTTTATATTTTCTATATCCAAATATATTATATAAAATTTAGATTTAAAATTTTTAACTTATAATTTTTATAAAAAAAAAGTGCCGCTTTTATATATTTTGATATTTAATATTGTATTTATCAAACTAAAAATTTATAAAAATATAAAAAATTAATATTAAATTTAAATGATGCATAATACATCTGGATAATTAATGTATAAAAATTATAAAATTTTAATATTAATTAAAAATTTCAAATTAAATCAATAGATTAATTATAAAAATTAAAAAAATTTTAAATTTTTATTTTAATAAATATAAAATAATATTCTAAATTTAGACTATCTACAGTGCTCATGCGATTAAGAGGATGACAAAATACAATCAATGCACGGTAGTGGATGTGAAACCATCAATGTGAAAGGTGAATGATTTTCTTTTTTTTTTTTTTTGCCAGTAAAAATGTTAATAATCTTTTTTACCTTCCTTGCATTAAAAATATTCTTGTTCAAACATTATCAATTATTAAATGTGAAGACTTCTCTCAATAAAAATTCAAATTTTGATCGAATATGAACTTAATTTATTATATTATAAGGGATTAAGGCCAATAAATTTGATTAAAGTAATAACAATAACAAAAATTAAACAATTGGTAATAATTTTGCCCATAACTCATAATGTCATGCAATTAAATTTCTTAAATTTCTCTACTAATCTAAGGAGCTTGTTAATGAACAATATGTAACATTCATCCTTTTAAGAATGTCATAAGGATTCTTGTCGATAAGCTTTCCTAGAATTAATTGGTTCTTTGCTTAAAAAGTTTTTGGAGGAATCACATTTAGGGCCCTTAGAAGCAAAAAATTTGCAAACAAAGCCTAATAGAATCTAAAATTATTCTGAAGGCAAAAAGGCCTCATTTGTAATGTTTTTCAGTGACATTACCAATTTGCCCCTCTCATAAACCAACTATTAAAGGACAACCTTGTTCTCTTTCCTCTTTTCTCCTTCCTTGTTCCTTCTCTCTCATCTTCTTTCAACATCGATGCAATAATCAAATCATCTTCTTCCCCATCATGCTTTTATATTCCCTCTCTTCTTCTTCTTCTTCTCGTCCTTCTTTCTCTTCCTTCTCAAGCTTGCATTTGAAGCATTTTCACTCAATACGTGTAAGTGTTTAGGTTTCGGCCATCATGCTTCACTTTTATCCAGATGGCTATGGAAAGGACAATCAAGTGTTCAGTTGACTACATCCATCTCATGCCAACTAGCTTCTTGGAACAAGCCGCCATAGTGTGGAAAAAATGGATCAAGTGGTGTATTGATTTTGGCATAGAGGTTAATGCAACTATTGCATATTGCGAATCCATCACCGCTTCTGAACAGCTTTATTTTGTCAAAAGAGAATATAGAGAGAGCTTGAGCCATATCAGTTTTATCTAGTCATAATGTACATGTTTATGTTCATTTAATGAAAATAAGTTTTTATGTTATTTCTAATATAGATTTTTCTGCGACAAATATACATATTAGGGTGTGGATGTTATTTATGAAATTTATGTTGTTATTTACAGAGTTTACATTGTGCAAACTTTGCAATTAGCTTATGCAAATGTTTATATGTATCATATAGACCGACCTTGTGTTGTAAATATATGGACCTTTTGATGTTATTTATGGAAGTTCTGTTATAAATTAGTTAATTACAGCTCTCAATGAATGAGATTATAGGGAGATGTCTCCTACATCTCACTGTGCAGTAGTATTTCCTGAAACTTAACTTTTGATCTTTTGATAGTCAAAAAATTGGATTATGTGTTGTGAAAACATGAATGTTATCTTGTTAATATTGGATATTTAGTTGTGAATTTAGTTATAAATTATCCAAATATGATGTATTTATTTCTAAAATTCAATGAAAATATATTGTTAATACAAGGACCTTGTGCAAATGTTCATATATGCCATATAAAAAGGACTTTGTGTTGTTAATACGTAGAATTTATCATGTTACTGAAAATCTTCAACTTAACCAGATGAACCATGTAAAATATATGGACATTATATGGTTAATAAATGGACCTTGTCATGTTATATACAGATTTTCTGTTGTTAATAAACTTGAAAATATTTTACAAATGTTCAACTTAAAAACAGGGACCATGTAAAATATATGGACATTATGTTGTTAACAAATAGATGCTTTCATATTATATACTAACTTTATGTTATTCATAAATTTGAGAAACTTTTTCAAATGTTCAGCTTAATCAAACAAACCATGTGAAATAAATGGACATTGTGTTATCAATAAATAGACCTTGTCATGTTATATATATAGACTTTCTATTATTCATAAACTTGAAAAACTTTTTGTTAAATCTAGCCAACTGATAAATTAGATATGCATGGACTTTCAATTGAGAATATATGAATATTGTGTTATACATTGTGGATATTGTATTATGCATTGTCTGCCTCACTTGTACATTGTATTAAGCCTATCAATATACTAGACATACATGAATTTTCAGTTGAGAATATATGAAT